TCCTGGTTTACTAAAAGCTTTAACATTTCAACAGTATACTTCTGTATGAGAACGCCTTGCAGTATCAATCTCTGTAATCCTACAAAGTATAACGTAATTTATGGTACAATGAAAAAAGTATTTCCTCTGCATAAAATACAAAAACATAAAAAATAACATTTTACCTTATAAAATTGTGTCCGCTTCATACAAAATAGCGTTGAAAATTACAACTAATAATATTTTTGTTTTTTAACAGCTTGAACCATTTTTACACAATTATGTCTGTCACCAATTTTATTTTGATAAACAACGTTTTTATTGAATTATGAATAAGAAAACGCACTTCATTATAAAAGAAATATATAAAATTAAAAACTTTAACTTTGTACTGTACAATTTTTCTCATAATTTAACGACTTTTTAGTTAAAATGTTATTAATATAAAAAGAACATAAATATTAATGAAAAAATATTTTTGTTTTCTGATTGTCTCGTTAAAAATATTTTCAAAAACATCTATTGCAAAATTTTTAACATCCGTAAAAATTAGCGTTTTTAAAAACGTTGAAATACTATCGGTATTTTAATCTTTTGTAACTTCTCAAACCTTAGATTTATATTAAAATCTTTTTTACGACTTTTTATTTTACAATTATATAACATAAAAATTGGTCTTTTCCATTGTACCATCAATTACAATATATATACATATATGGTAATAGAACATTAAGTATCATTATCCAATTATCCATTATCCCATTATCCTTTACAAGTTTTATTGATTACATATTCATTGATTTTTCAGTACGTTTCAACAGCATTTTCTTACTTAACAACGTTTCGCGTAATTCTTTCTGAGGAAACATAACTCCAAGGAAACGAAAAATAAGTTTCCTAGAAAGGAACACGCAACTTTGTTTATATAAATACGGAAGAATACATCGGACTTAAAAAATAAAAAGTATATATTAATATAACAATATTCTGCAGATTTATTATTAATTATAATTTGCGTAATTTTAATCCCAATTTTACAGATTCCAGCTCTTAATTCAGTTCAATGGGTATTCAAATTTTTGGAATATAAGAAGACGACTTCTTTCTATGTAAATATTAGTAACAGTTAGAAGACAGTATGTAGGTATGTTTATCCATGTTGTACGTTTTGCACTACGAAATTTGTTTATCTAAAGTTTATAGAGTATAACAGTAATTATTACTGATGTGAGTATTAACATTAACATTTTATTTTAATGTATGTATAAAAATACAATATAAATTAATTTCTGTACCTTGTTATATTGTGACTTTCATTTTAGAAAATTATTAAGCATCAAGAGATTAATTAAACTGACTTAATTAGGACTATTATAGTAAAAAACAGAATCAACATGAATATATCCCAAATTAAGCTTAGGGAAACGATATCAGTACTATATAATTTGTGTTATTCTATCTTTATAGACGTAAAACAAGGATAAATGACACAAATATTCTTATAGAAAAATAACATTTATTTCTACGTCATATATTTATATAAAATATTTTATTTTTAAATGTTTTATTGTTTCGGCTATATTATTTTAAAATTTTTATTTAGAAGATGGTTTCCTATACTTATAAAATAATTACCTAGCTTCGTTTATACATGTCCGTATTGCACACAGCGTATTGTATGGCATATTGTTCACAGCACATTGCACATACGACCGTATTGCACACAGCACACATGGCACACACGATTATTTCATGTACCTATGTGACCATGTGTTGCACATACGTCCATGCTGCGGACATATAGTAAAACTTTTCTTCATGTGGGAAATTGAAAATCCATATCGAATCGTAGAATGGACCACGTTTTGCACAGCATGTATTGGGCGATGTGGTTAGATTTCACTAACCCATGTAGAACCGCACTTCAAGTGGAAAGTTGAAAATCCTGCATATAAAACACCACACAGTTCTTTATTACAATGTGCATGTACCATACGAAATAATCATGCGCGACACAGTCATGTGTGCAACACGGTTATGTACAAACGAAACTGTAAACAAAATCATGTTGTTAATGGAATCTCCCCGGTTCTTTATCCGACCTTCCTATATCGGATTTTTTTGGAAATTTTTCTAAATACTGACTCATACCATAATTTACTTACTTTAAATTCCAATGTGGAGTTAAAGAAACGCAGTGTTATCTTCATAATGGATTTATTATACCTAGCTATAGCCTATATTGCATTATTCCATCTATTTCCTTAATATGGAACATCAAATCTCCTCTTTCCTCAAAATTATATACAAAGGTTTTGTGAGCGTGAAATTCTTATTTCCACACAGGGTATCATTTCAGTGAAACATATGTTACTTCCTGCACACTTGCTATATCTGTTAAGGTAGCACTCCAGCCATAAAAAATCAAAATGGCACCTATGCCAGAATTAAGTTCTTTTTATGTACTAATTATGTACTCTAATGCCAATTTTTGTTTTGGTGCTCACCCCCTTTGAACGGTTTAGCAGAAAATCGCGATTGAAAGTAGGGATGCTAGCTTAACGTTAAGTTAGCACCTCCTTCATTAAATTACATACAAAATAAAAAATTAATACGGTAAAATTAAGTGCTTTTTATGTGCTTTCAAAATAACAAGTCAAAATTAATATAACCGTAACGGTTTAAAAGGTATACCAATATAATTTGACACATATGTATAACATCGATACAAGAGTAAAGTACCAGTTAAAATACAAATAGCGAATTGGTTGTGGGCCCAAATTGTTCCCCCACTTTTGTGGAGGTTGTGCTTTCAAAATATGCACAACAAGATTTTGGTACTCACCCCCTTTAACTGGTAAATCATCCCTAAAGTGATCACCCATCACCTTCCTACAAGAATAAAGTGCTAGTTTTACCCATTTAGAATGCACCGGAATAACTATTCAAAAGATTGCTATTTGTGGAGTCAATAACCAAACATACGCGTGAAGCAACAATTTATACAAAACTCTATTACAATCTGACGGTTCGTTGTCCGATACTTCTTTGTCGAAATTGATTTTTTTGGAGATTTTATCGAATAACTGAGTCATATCTTCCAGAATTTCAACGTGAATTAAAGAAACCTATTGTTCTTATAATACTGTTACGGCCCGCGTCTCCTTGGCAACCATCTGTCCATCCTTCTCGCTCGTAACACGATTCAACGCGCAGAGAATCGAAGCAGCACGGATGTAATAATACAATAGATTTGGTATACATATCTATAGTTTCTATATATTGCATGGTTCTACCTATTTCTATAATACAAAAATAATGATACACGAAGATTGAACGTGAAACCCTTATTCCTAAACTGTATATCAACAGTAAATCATATGTTACTGTCTGCATACCTATAATTTCCTATCGCGAATAGGACGTATCGATAAAATTATTATGTAGCGTACAAGTGAACAGAAGTGCGCGTGGACTTGATAATTCAAAACACTTTAATATCTACAGTAATAGTAAATAAGGTGCATGTAAAATAATAGATAGACAAATTAAAATAAATATAGTTTTTCTACAATATCTAGGATGTAGAGACATATGTACACTATATATCTGAGATAACATAGGGAAATCCATTTTTTACTTTACATGAATATTTCGTGAATTCTTATTGCAGGTATCATAATAGAAAACGTTTCTGTTTATTAAATTTGAATAGGTAACACTATCCGCTTCGCACATTGTATATACTTCATAATAATTTTATCAGTGCATTCCCCTCATGCAAAACGAACATATGCATGATACGAAAGAATATAAATAATACATTTGTGTTAATCCCCCTCGACCATATTCCTGCTTCGTAATAATGTTGCAAATCCCTGGAGCATTCAGTAAATTATATGTATCGACTTGGTGAAAGAGTTTCCTTTTCCCACAATATCAACTTGTAACACGCTTATAACATAGCATACTTCAGTCATGCGAAGAAGGGTGACGCTAAAGGAAATAATCTTTGTCATGAAGTTAAGTGTGTTCCCAATTTGGTGTTGGCCGTTACCAAAAAATGCGACAAGATTTAAAATATCCTGCATGAAATTATATCATTGTTGGTGTATTATTATGGCAACATGTTTGGGGGCAGCAGCAATATATAGCGTTTCAAATCATTCTGACGACCCTGCCATTTTAGTACAACTATTAATTATAACATGCAGCATCTTTCACATGAGTTATAACTTTATCTCTTATCAACTTAATTATCATCATGCACAAGTAATTAATATTTATTTATTCAATATTAAAAATTTCAGATATAAGTTAAGGGGATCCTAAATCGATTACCGAACTTGATCGAGGTCGATAGTGCAGACTTTTTTAATTCCAAATTCGATAATAGTGACATCTTTGATTCATTTCTTACATTATATTATATATCGTTCTATCTCACTTAAACGCATATATCTGTCCTTATCTAACATATGTCAGCACCATCTATCGTAAGACCGCGCAACTATTACTACACGGAATTTCGGCTCTGTTGACAGTCCCAGTCTTCGCAAAGCATCCGTATACATGTATTTTTCATTCGGTGAAAAGGCTTTTCTTCTAGACTTTCAATCTAGTTCTACAAACTCGGTATCGTTCGTTCCAGTAATGTGACCTCAGCTGCATGCTTATTTTCAAGATATGAATTATAAAACTCTTATATCAAGCAAATATATACCTCAGGTGACAGCTGTACGAGCCAAAAGTAAGTGAATTTTAAACGAATTTTAAACTTTTTTTCGATTTTCTCATGAAATTCAGTGCAGCTGAGGTCCTGTTTGTGCGTACTTTAATTCTATACTAATAATTTTGCAATCCGTAAATCCAATTCCGAGATTTTTCATCGAATGGAAATGAGGTGAAGTAGAACAACTTTAGCATCTCCTTAAGGAATAATATTTTAAAATCGTGTTCTCTATCAATAAAAATATAATTTGCAGAATGTTACTTATGAAATGATAAATTTTTGCGAGATAATGAAACCACATGAAGAGGTTGTTATTCAACAATATATTGACAAGTGTATTGTATTCCATAGTGTATCTATGTTTATGTTCTATTTTGTCACGTTTGGAACAATCGTAGTGTTACCTATCGTGACGAATCAAATGTTTCCAACATTAGTCGAATATCCATTTGATGTGTCTTATCAACCGTTAAAAACAGTAATCTATATACAACAATCTTATGTTGGGATAATAATGACAGGGCAACTATGTATGAATATTCTTATGAGTCTATTGCTGTGGTTTGCATCAGCAAGATTTGAGATATTGAGTGAAGAGCTAAAGAAAGTTACAAGTTTCTACTCGTTGTTCCAATGTATTAAAAAACATCAAGAATTAATCAAGTAAATATGTAATTCTTACATAAAAATAACCTAGCTAAACAAATATAAGTTACATAAATTTTGACGCGCAATATATTTAGGTACGCTACAGAAGTTACTATTTGTGCTCGTCATTTCGTACTCTCAACTGTATGTTGTAGTACGTTTGTCGAAATACTTATCTTCCTCGTGTTCATTACGGTAAGTACACGTAATATTATAAAAATCTAATATTCGTACTTATATATTTTACTCTGACTTTACATATAATTCTTACGTCTAAATATAACAATCATTAAATATATACTTATGAAAAGTCAAAAAAAGAAAATTGTGTGAATGTAATACATTTCATTGTATTATTAGATCCTTAATTTTTTTATGTAATGTGGAAGTAATTTTAATGTAAATACATTAATACAAGTAGCGTGGAAATGTCATACAATTTCTTTTAATAGCATCAACCTATACCGTTATTAGTCCAATTTTCGGGATTAGGTATAATATCTTTAATGGAGGTGTTTATGTTTGTTTGGCCAGGAGAACATTTAATATCAATGGTAAATTATTTATTAAAAATTATTATATTATGAATAGTTTTAATAAATGCTATTATCTTTCATAGTGCAAAAACGTCGCAGAGGCAGCGTATGATGTATTCAAATGCAATCGATCAATTAAAATAACGAAATGTCTGCAAATTATTATAATGAGATGTCAAAAACCGGTAATCGTTTCAATACCCTGTCTTATGCCCATATTATCTTTCAATTACTTTACAACGGTAAGACTAAATTTTAAATTAACTAATTCATTGAAAATTCTCATCATGTCATCCATATTAATTATTACTAATATTTCATACAATCCTTTATTTATAAAATTTTTATCAATGTATTAAGTGTATACGCGAACACTTATCAAACACGCATAATACATATATTTAAAAAAAAATACTATAATTTTTTTTCAAAATCAGAATAAAATTATACTAATTACTGTTGTTAAAATAATTTATTTAAATAACATTTAAAATTTATTAAAAACTTGTTAACTTTATATTTTTCGATATATTTGTCAACATATACTCATATGCATGAAAAAGAAAAAGAACTAAATAAAAATTATAATTAATTTGCATTTTTAGTTATAGTTAAAACTTCAAAATGATAACAAATAATTGTAAATATTTTTACAAAGATAATTAAAAATTACAGTCAAGTCTATTTTTTACTTCATATTTTCCTATTTCTTCGCATTTCTTTAGCATTTCAAATTTCGTGGTTACTTCATTATGCATCACTCGCTTTTTCAATTCATATATGATAGTCATTTTAGATAGTTATACAAATATAAAATAGATGGAGAGCATAAAAATGCTAAATTATTCTTTAAATAATTTGTAATCATTGATATATAAATTGATATATTATATTAATAATAGCAAAACATTAAAATATTTATAGAAAGCGGTAGAAAAAGAAAAATATTTAAAAAAATTATTGTTTTAAAATTTATAAACAGTAATGGCATAAATATACTCTTTTATGTACTACCAAAATTTTACTTTTTTTAACACAAAAAGAGACAATTATATATATTTTTACATGTTTCAGTACTGTTCGACCATACTCTCCTATTTCACAACACTACGAGTAATGATGGAGAACGATTATAATTAAATGTAAACATATAATCGTATTAACCACTTTGATAATTAATATTTACACAAAAGAGTATACATCTTATACTTTGTTATGTAGGACTTAAAATATAGTAATGTTGTTTGATTTAAAGGTAACAAGAAATTCAATAATTATTATTATCCTCTTAATAAGGCTTTAGAATTAATATGTACAATAATATACTATTTAACCAGTGCACTTCTGCAAATATTATAATAATATCGAGACAAAGCAGAATATTTAAAAATGGTCAATTTTCGTTCAAAAAGGTGTAAGTAAAAAAAATAATTTTGTTTACAGATTTTTACTTCCCGGACACGCGCGCGAGATAAAATTATTAAAAGTTGATGGCGTTTGAGGAATATCTTGAAAATTGAGCACGAACGTGGAGTATTTATCCAATGTTTTTGCACAATTCTCAAGATGTTCCCCAAATGCTATGAACTTTTTAATAACTTTATCGTATTCAAAAGGTCAAAATCTACAAAAAAGACTATTTCTTTTATTTACACTTTTTGGGGTAAAAATCTTCCTGTTTTTAAAGAATGTTAAATATTTTAAATTATGGTTAATTATTAAAAACTTCTAATTCTCTCTCTCTCCCCTCTCCCTCCCTCTCTCCCCCTCTCCTTCCCCCTTCTCTTTCTCTCTCTTTCTCTCTCTCTAACAAGGGAAATTTCACAATTATTCGGAACGTATTTTTTTATATGTGCCTTAACTCATGTTTAAAGGGTTAAACACCCCTTGTGTTTCACTCTTTAAACATGAGTTAGGGCACATATAAAAAAATACGTGTCTCTTAGATTTTCGTGTTTAACAACATATTTCATGGAGAATCAAATCGGTTATCGAACAGTTGTGAAACTTTCCTTGTAAGTAAAAATAAATTCTAATATAAAGATGCTAACATATTATATATGTGCTATAATATTATTATAATTAATTATTCAACATCATAATGTATATATGCATACCATATATTATTATATACAGAATATTTGATAATTACCATACCAACTCAGGTGGACAAATACAACAAGTTAAACTGAATAGAAGAATCCCCTATCGCCTTACGTTTTTCTCAAAAATTAACAAAAAATTAATTAGTCCATAATAAATTTTTGTATATTATAGTCTATTAATAATAATAAAATCTACAAACGATGTACACATCTTCAAAAAACGATGAGATATGTACAATGTTGAAAGTATTCTTCGTGCCACAGATAATTTATGCTATTTGGTCTCCTAGAAGGAATTGCATATTGAAAATTTAGTAAGTCATTACCATCGTGTATAGCAATTTATTACAAATATGAGAAATTTGCTTTACCTTCCTTTAGTATTATACGTTCGTTTGATATAAAATTTCTTTCATAAAACTGTTATATTCATAGCACCCTTACAGCAATCAAGTAAGCTAATATGCTACATATAAATTACAGTGTACCTCAGTCTTCCACAGTATTGTGCATGTATCGGAAAATGTATGATTTGATTACGCTATTATGCATCAAATATTTACGCGTTATGAAGCGAGGAAAAAAGCTTATAACACTTTATTTGAAACGACGTAGCGCGAGAAAACATCATATATAGAGGGAATATAGATTTTAAATATTATATTTTCGATGAATTGGTCGATGTAATTATGATAATAAAAATAACTCCAAAAACTGCTATCACGTTTATAAAAGTGATAGTCGCTTTATCCTTTTCATGGCCACTTTCAAAGAACGCTAGTAAATTTCAAGTAACATGCTTCAAAATTTCACGCTTATTGCTCTGTATGAATGCAGTGGTATTGAGTGTACCTGTAGCGTATACCATTTATCATAATGACTACGATCTACCAAGGATAATGAAGCTATGGTGTTTGTTGGGTGCGTTTATACAAATCCCTCTGGAGATAACACAATGCGCACTGCAATATGATCGATTGCAAGTAAGAAATGTACATGTATTTATAGCGATATCACAGACCGACCTTCGATAAACCATTTTCAATTTATCTTATTCAATTCTATAATACAGATATTAATAAGCTAATTCTCTCCTCCTGGTTATTGATAAATGTTATAAAAATACTACTCCATAAAAATAATTTTTTTATCCTTATATCTTGAGCTTCTTATCTCTAAATAGGATTGTATTTTCATGAAAATTATTATCATTGTCTACATTGAAAAGATATAATCTAATTCAATCTTTGATTTTATATACTCATTTATTCATCGCCCAGATATAAACTACGTATTTCCAGCTGTCTAAATCAAATTTAATTAAAATTGAATTTAAATTTCAGTATTTGGTTTCGGAAATGGAACATACTTTCGAATGCGCGGAACCATATGAGAAAAAGATCTACCAACAATATATTGATAGATGCGCAACATTTTACGCGAGCTCCACAGCGGCAGTTTTTCTCTGTGCGGTTATAGCAACGATGATGCCACTGATACAGGCCGATCAGATTTTCCCGACAGATGCAAAATATCCTTTCAACGTGGAACATGAACCATTAAAGAGTATTGTCTTTATACATCAGTGCGTCGCTGTTTGGCAATGCTTTTCCATAGTTGGCCTCGGTGTCTTTATCGCTCTTCTTATATGGTTTTCTGCGGCACGCTTCGAAATATTGTCACATCAATTTCGTATGGTCACCGACATTTATGGTATCGCTATGTGTGTACGGCAACATATAAAATTACTGAGGTAACAAAAAATGCATTTTACCATTTATAAAAATTGATAATGATTACTAATAAATAAATAATTATTTTTATTTTATATGTATTTTTTGGTAGAGATTCAACACTTAATACATCACATTTTTCGCATAAAGTTATTTAGCTTCTATCAAAGCTGTCTATTACTGTTTTTCATGTAAAATAAAATTATATCATGTTTTTCAAAAAAAAAAAAAAACAAATTCTAAACATCATTTCGTGTTTTTCGGATCTTGTGAATCAATTTTTTTTTCAATATCACTGCTTTGCACATCTGTGTACTTTTAAAAAATACTATAAAGTTTGAAATCGAAAGCTGAAATTGTATGCAAACATACTTATTTTATTTCAATAGTAAAATTTCTAATATAAAAATCTCATAATTAATTTTTCCAAGAATAATAAGATTACTTAATTTAAGAAAAGATAAAATTGTTTTTAAAAAAATATTAAATTTGCAATATGCTAATCCCTTTATAGTTAAAAATTTTTTAATTAAAATTGAAATATAAAGACACGATACCTACATATGTATACAGACAATAAATGAAAAAGTTAAAAGTTTTAATAAAAAGAAAAAAACTTTTATTATAGCTACTTGTAATTTTATTAGAGTTATTTACAATTTATTATGCAAAGAAAAACATTAAAATTTTGTAACAAAAAAGTATACGTGTTATAAAGAAACACAAACGATACATAGTGATTTTTCCAACCTTAGAAAATAAATCGTTTTAGATTCGCTCAAGAAGTAATAATTGCTTTTCGTTCAGTGATATTATCAATAATAATTATTTGTACGTGGGCAATTGTAGCTAGCGGCCTAACAATTGTAAGCGTAAGTATTTGTCTTATATCATTTACTACCTTGTCTTATATCATTTATTGTCTTGTGATAAAACGATAATTCTACTAAAGGAAAAAAAGGAAAAATATGTAAATGTGTTTACATGCATTTGATTTATCATTATTATCATATACCTAGCGAAGTATGTTAAAGGACAAAATACAATTTCTGACTTTATGTATATCTGCACTCATGGAAGTTTATGTATGTGCTTGGCCAGCCGATTACTTAATAGATGCAGTAAGTTGTATTCCAATGGCGTTTTACAATTAAATTGACATAATTCGTATGATAACTATAACTGTGTATCGCATCGAGTTCGGAATTATTTATTTGAGTTATCATATAAAATTGTTTCCACTCAATTTGGTTCAAATCAATAAAATAAATTTCTTACTTCTTTTAAATTTTAATAATTTTTAATCATTTTTTTACGAAATACAAAGACATAGTTTAATAATTTCCATAAAAAGCTAAAATATGATTAATAAACGTACATATAAAGTTAAATTTGATAAATAAGTTAATATGTTATATTATTTTTATTAAAATGTTTTTATCCTTTCATAATAAAAAATGTCAATTTTTCATGACATTTATACAAAATATTTTTGTTTTAAATGTTTTTAACTATATTGTTTCGATCATATTATTAAAAAATTTTTATATTATTTGTCAGAGTACCAATGTTGCGCAAGCAGTTTACGAATCGTTGTGGTACAATCAAGACAAGATTTTTCAAAAAAATTTAAATTTTATCTTGTTAAGGAGTCAAACAGCAACAACCGTCACTGTTTCTATCCTTCCAGCGTTATCATTACAATATTATGCATCGGTAAGGATTTGCAAATTAAAAAATTTTTTTTATATAATTAATATTTTACTGAAGTATAATTTTCCACACTGCAAGTAGATAATTAAAATTTTGTAAATGTGATTTTTCTTGTAGAATCTCCCTAAAAATATTAAATTGTATGTTAATAAAAAATTTATAAATGTTTTCACGAAACAATCATGTGAGAAAATAAATACTACTGGAAGACAAGCGCGGCAATTACTGCGCATTAATTACCGCACTCGTCTTCTAATAATTTTTCTCATTGTATGGTTATTACTCTCTAAAAGTAAATCAGTGTATTGTCACTGAATTCAGTGCTACACTTATAACTGTAATATCAGCGAATATTTACTGTTTCTCAATAGTAAAAAATGTACTGATTCATTTTGAGAAGTTATGGTTTCTACAGATTGAATCTGCAGAAAATCATAACCTCTAAAATGAATCAATGTATTATTACTGAAAAACAGTAAATATTCGCTGATGACTTCAGTGCTACACTGCGACCGCACTCACGAGCGTGGTGCCACCACAGTATATACAGTAGCGCAACTCTCCCAATTCTAGCGTGTACAAAATCGAA